GTTCACTTATAATGCAAATTTTGCAATTACTTCAAACGTCACTCGTTCGCCACCGTGTTTGTTCCTGTTTATACAGTTAGTTACCGTTACCGCAACAATACCGTGCTAACGCTTTGGACCGCATCTCACGAATGAATTAATACATTTTTGCATAGAAATCGACTATTTGGCGTAGCACGAGCAAACTTGAGCGAAATAAGCACACACGCTCGCGCCACTACACCCACACAAATGCACACGAATGGTAGATAGATACATGTACTCAGTAAAATGATGATCCTCAAATGAGTCAATTCGACGCTTTGGCTATTTGCTCAGTTAGACACATATGACGGCGGTGGCGGCGGCGGTGGCGAGTTTATCTTCACTTTGACATTGAAAGTGTTGCTCACTTTTCATGCGCTTCAATAAACCGAAATAACAATATCCAATTAAGCGCGCACACACGCACACATACTAAATATATAATATAATATATATATTTATCCATATATACATATGTATGTATGTATATATATCTAYGCATGGCTGTATGTGTGCGCATATGTTGGCTGCTCGCTGAAAGGTGCGCGAATGAGGTGTGAACAAATTGTGGCAGCACAAAGCAGACGCCAGCGAAAAATTCAATTAGATTTGATGAAAGCGCATAAAATGCACACACATACACAGCATGCTTTCGCGCGGCTGCAGGAGTGTTAAAAACCCGAATTATGATGTGAAAAGTGAGTTTTGTTTACCATTTATTGATAAATGCGCACACACATACACACATTTCTATGTACATACATTCACATTCCCAAATATATGAGTGCGGCGCCTTTGCATTGTTGCTGCTTTAGAGCATCTCAGCAATGTGAATGGCATTGTCCTTTAGAAAATCCCGTTAATAATATAGAATTGTATAGCAAAGTCAATGCCATCAAGATATCAGGACAATTCAGCACACACACAGTCATACACACAAGCACACGTATATAATCAAAAAAAAGAAACGCATACAATCATGTACATAATAATCAAAGCAAACAATTGCCACTTTCGAGACGAATTCGCTAATTTGCTGTTATATGAGATCGGCGTTATGAAGCTGAGAAAAAGGAGTGGAAAGTTTGTTAGAAAATTGTCATGTATGGTTTTGAGTAAGCAGCAGCAACAAATATAACTTGTAAATAAGAAATAATTGTATGTTGTGACTATGTGTGTGAGATAGTTTAAATAATATACAAGTGCTTGCTTGCTATGGCTCCTTGAAGACAAAGTTTGCTTAAATGGAAGAGTATATAACCAAGTTAAGCTGATAATTTGAAAGAGCAGGAAGGTCTAAAGAGCATACTATACCCCGTTCAATGAAGACACCAGATATTCATTATTATTAAAAACAAAACAAAACAAGTAAGGAAGGGGTAARTTCGGGTGTCACCGA